CTACAGCAAAGTGGAGGTAAAAGTGGGTTTCTTATTATCACTATTAATTCCTGTAAACATGCCCAATAGAGTTACACTTGTCATAAAAATCAATCTATGTTCTTTTCTTTAGTATAACAACAGCAGGCTGCAATCAATTTAACGTCTCGTATGCTAAAATGTGGCACACAAATCTGCCCAAACTGGAGTTTCAGCTTCCAGTTGTTGACTGAACTATGAACACACAGTGTTTCATTGTTCCAACTAGGCAACCTTGAAACTTAAGTTCAGTGAATTCAAAATAGTGTGATGAGGTCCAGCTTTGTTGCAAACTAGGACGAACCACATCCCACCTGAAGTTCTTCATTACCCTTAAATTGGCATTTGCCTGTGTACAGAGCAGACCAGTAAACTCAGAAGATGAAAATAAATGATGAAAGATTAAAATAAATATATCTCTACTGGATCCTTCACACATTCTTGATTGTTATGAGCTTATTTTCATATGTAAAACATATGAAACATCTTCATTAAATGAGAGTATTTAATGTGGCATGTCACATGCAATGTGATGACAAAAGCCTGCTGTGCTGCTTTGTGGTCAGAAATTCCACTCTAGCGTGGGGGTGGGGGTGCTCGTGAGAAGGAGGTATGCAGGTTAATATAATGACAAGAGCCAGGAAAACAAATTCATACATGACAAGACACAGAAAGACAAACTCCCTTTGGCTTCTGGCTTTTCAAAATGGACTACCAAGGTAAGAATCTGGTGTTTTTTTTCTGTAAAGGTGAAATTTAATTATTAGAAAGTAATTTATATTCCAGCAGTAGCATAGATTACTTTATTAACACATCCTTCTTTTTAATTACTTTTACATACATTTGTTTTGCAGTATTGACTTTTACAGTCAAGCATCAAATTGTCAGCCCTTCTAAAACAAATTATAAAGCTGGAGAACAATTACGTTGAATGACTGTATTTAAGTGATTAATGTGAAATTATTGGGTTAGAAGGGTAAAAGATAGGAGACAAAGTACAGTTTGGTTTTCTATTACAGTGTGATCTATGCTGCTGAGCAGTGTTTTATAAAGGGTTACAGTAATGACCTTTTTATAAATGACCCTGTAACACTTCAGCATTTTGGGACATGGCAGGAATTTGCTGGAAGGCTGATTAATATTAGATTGTTCTATCTCTATTTCTTATCAACATGGCTGTCTTGTGATTCTTATTTCAGAAGTTAATTTTGTTTATTTGAAAGATTCATAGTCACTGACTAGGCAGTTCCCTTTTTTCCTGTTCAAATGCGTTTCAGTATGTCATCAGTAAGCAAACATTATCAATTCAGTGCATTTGTGGAGCAAGCTATTAGATTCAGTTCAGTACACAGCTAGGCCATAGAAGCCCTGCATATAAGTTAATAGTAAAGCAGCCTGTTATTTACTTTTCAGTTATCAGATTATGATCATTTCTGTCTTTGAATAAGTTTTAAAAAGATACTGTGAATGGTGAGTGAGATGAACTTTCGGTCACCAGTAAGGATTCTGTTAGTGACAGTGATGATTCACTATAATCAATTCACTGTGAAACTTTGTTGATAAGCACTGATTCATACATGACTGATCACCTCTAACTGGATGGTGTGTGGCTACTTCTCAAGGGCTTCAGCAGTTTTCCAGGGGGCCCAAACTAGCACATTACAGAAGGTTACAGATTACTAGTTACCCTGTCAAAAATGTAATAAGTAATGGAGTTATTATAATTATTGGGTCAAAGTAATGTAACTTATTACTTTTTGATTTTGGGCTCTAAAAATGTTTTAAACTGTGCAATAAAACTGAAAAGTCCTAAAATACATTTAAAACCTGGCAGCCTAAACCTCACAACAGATCTTGACACTTATTACTGTCAAACTTTTATTAAATGTTCTTCAACATACAGTATTTTCTGTTACAGTGCATAACTATTATTGAAACGTAGCCTATTGAACAGTCATAAGAAAACCCTTTTCTGATTTAAGGAAAGTGTAGAATTTCCAGCACTAAGGATCCTTCTTGTCTGACAGCATAACCATCCGCTTTGGTGATTTATTTGATTGACAGACGAGAGGTGGTGCAAAGTCACACAAGAGTATCGATCAAAAGCAATGTCCAAAATTGAATGCATGTGGCCAAATGGATGGAGCATTTCTAAACATTGAGACAGCTCCTTGTTAGCCATCCTACCCTTGATGGCGTTATTAGTTTCAACAGCTTTGCTGACATGCGTTTTCTAGAAACTTGTCAAAAGAAGACACTTTGCAATGTACAGAATGATGTGGGGGTAGAAGAAAGAGTGGTCGGTTTACAGCGATCACCATTTAGCCAGTGAAAAGCATGTGGAATAGAGAGGGATGGCGGAAGAAAAGAAAAGAAGAAGTGATTAAGGGGCAGTGAAGGAAGGATGGCAGCAGTGAGCAGTGTCAGATTACATGAGTAGTGTCCTTTAGTTTGATACACACCACACACGAAGAAATAGCTAGATATATGCATCTGAGTTTTTGATGTATGCATTAGAATCAAGATTCAAAGCGTTTGTTGTCATATGTACAGTAAGGAAACACATTTCCCTGCACAATGAAATTCTTACTTTGCTGTCCACAATGAATGCCAAACAATATCAGTCTAAAATAGTAGATAAATAGTAGTATATACAATATCAAAAGAAAAAAACAGCAGTGAAAAGGAATAAAATAAAAGTATAATAATAATATGTACAACAGTCGGCAATGAATGTGCAATTGTGCATGTGCAAACTGAGAATGTAAACAGTACAAGTGGAATTATATGAAGTAGTTCCTGATTATAGACTCCTGTCAGCTGTTCAAGAGTCTGATGGCAGTTGGAAAGAAAGTGTTTTTCAGTTTAGGAGTCCTGCATTTCACACTCCTGAGCCTTCGACCGGAGGGTAGGGGTATGAATAGTCCATGCTGGGGGTGGGTGGGGCCCTTGAGGATGGAAGCAGTTTTCCTATGCACCCTGCGGTGGTAAATGCTCTGCAGAGAGGGCAGTGGAGTCCTGGTGATCTTCTCCACAGTCTTTACCACTCTCTGCAGGCGCTTGCAGTCCATAGCAGTAGTGC